TTACTGAATTCAAAGAGAATTCAAACACCTGAATGAAATAAAGAAGACCATGTGGGATATGAAAGAAGAATTCAATAAAAATACAGAAATCCTAAAAGAAATCAATTTGGATTTTGGAAATTAAAAGCCCAATATCCCAAATAAAAACTTCAATGAAACATATTGCTAAAAGAGTGAAGCAGGTTGAAATTAGAGTATCATGGCTGAAGATAAAATAAAGGAACTGGATCAATCAGTCAAAGACTATGAAAAATTACTACGAAAACATGAACGGAACATGCAAGACCTCTGGGACACTATGAAAAGACCAAAGCTACAATTCATAGATACAGAAAAAAATAGATTAAATACAAACTAAAGGTATAGATAACTTATTCAATAATGTAATAGAAAATTTCCCCAACCTCAGTAAGAGGACAGATATCCAGTTCAGGAGGCTTTCAGAACACTAAAACACTAAATACAATGCAGAGCAAAAAAACCAGAAAAAACACTGAAAGCTGCAAAAGGGAAGTAACAAGGCACATGTAAAGGCAAACCCACTGGAAGAACAGATTTCCCAACACAAAATCTAAATGCAAGGAAGACATGTATTTTAAGCACTGAAAGAAAACAACTGTCAACCTAGACTAGTCTGTTCAGCAAAACTATACTTCATAATTGAAGGAGAAACAAAAATCTTTCACAATAAAGAAAAACTAAGGGAATTCATGACCACCAAATTGCAGAAAATACTCAACCTACACATACATGTAGAACGTAGACACAGCCAGGAAAATGCAACAAAGAATAAACCCTACTAGTCAAGAAGCATAGCAAACAAGGAATAAACATCAGAAAAACAACAAAAATGACTGCAAACACTACATATGCTTCAATATGTTAATGGCCACAGTTACAAATCAGAAGACACAGAATGGTGAGTTGTATTAAAAAGCAAGACCTGATCATTTCTTGCTTTTAAGAAACACTTCTCCCTGACAAAAACAAACACTGGCTTAGAGTGAAAGTGTGGAAAAGAGCTTTTAAGCAAATAGCCACTGAAAGTAGACAGGAGTAGCTATCTGATAAAGCTGACTTTAGATCAAAATTAGTCAGAAGAGACAATGAAGGTGACTTCCTATTAATAAAGGAAACAATCCATTAAGAGGGAATAACAATTCTGAACATGTAAGTGCCAAATGTCAATGCACCAACTACATTAAAAAAACAACAAAAAAAACTACTGGACTTAAAAGCGCTCTAATACTATAATAGTGGGAGACTGAATACTCCACTCCCACCAACAGATAGGTCATTTAGACAAAAAACTAAACAAAGAAACCTCAGAATTAATTGACACAATAGACCAAATGAACTTATCAGACATCTACAGAGTATTTCACCCAGCTACCACACAATACACATTTTTCTCAGCAGCCCACAGAACTTTCTCCAAAATACATTATATTTCAGTACACAAAGCAAGTCTTAGCAAATGTAAGAAAGATGAAACAACTCCCTACATCCTATATCCTAATGGAATAAACCAGAATTCAACAGCAAAAGAAACTATGTAAAACATTCAAATACCTGGAGATTAAACAACACATTGAAGAAATAAGGGGGAAATCCAAAAGTTACTAGAATCAAATGAAAATGAAAACATAACCTACCAGAACCTTTGAGATACAGCAAAGTCAGTGTTGAGAAGAAAGTTTATAACTTTAAACAGCCACATATGAGAGAGAAATTGAGATCATAAATAATCTAACCTCTTAAAAACAAGAACTAGCCAAATGCAAAACTAGCAGATAAAAAGAAAATTAGGGTCTAATTAATTACTAATTAATTAAATAATGAAATAGAGACAAAAATGCTATGTAATCAATGAAACAAAATGTTGGTTCTTTGAAAAGATAAGACTGAGAAACCCTTAGCCAATGTGACTAGGAGGAGGAAGGGAAAAACCTAAATTAATAAAATTAGAGGTAAAAAAGGGAATATCACAACAAATTCCAACAAAATCCAGAACATCAGAAGGAAATACTTTGAAAGCCTATATTCAAATAAACTGGAAAATACAGAACAGATAAATGTCTAGGTTCATTTGACTTACCAAAATTGACCAAAGAAGATATTAACCACCTAAATAGATACCAAGCAATGAGATTGAAGCAGCAATAGAGCCTCCCAAAAAAAGAAAAGCCCAGAACTTGATGGGTTCACTGCTGAATTCTACAAGACTAACACTCCTCTAACTATTCCATGAAATAGAAACAGAAAGGTTTCATTCAGGAAAAAATAGGAAAAGCACTGGAACATAAAGGCATAGGCAGTAACTTCCTGAACACCAATAGCTCAGCAATTAAGAGAAAGGACTGACAAATGGAACTGCATCAAACTGAAAGGTTTCTAAACAGCAAAGCAAACAGTCACTAGTCTGAAGAGATAGCATACAGAGTGGGAGAAAAATCTTTGCCAGTTATACAAGAGATTAAAAACCAGAATACACAGGATGCTCAAAAAACTAATCTTCCAAAGAATCAATGACCCAATGAATAAATGGGTAGATGAATTGACAATCTTCAGAAGAACAAATGGCCAATAAATATGTAAGGAAAGGTTGTGGGAGGGTAAAAACAATGGAAATATTAGGTGCCCATGTATGAAAATGGAAAAATGAGACCTGCTGAAACTATTCTAAGAATGGGAGGAAAGGGGATAAAGGAGAATGATGGAGGGATGAATTTAACTAAAATATACTATAAGCACTTTTGTAAATGTCACAATGTACCCCCAGTACAACAATAAATATATAATAAAAAAATGAGGAAATGCTCAATATCCCTGGCCATTAATGAAATATAAATCAAAATGACACTGAGATTTCAACTTACTCCAGTCAGAATGGCATTATCATGAACACAATAAATATTAGCAAGGACACAGGGGAAAAACAGATCCCTTCATTGTTGGTGGGAATGTAAATCAGTACCACCAATATGGAAACCAGTACAGAGGTTCCTCAAAAGACTGAAAATAGAACTACCATACAATTCCATGATACCATTCCTGGCATATTTCAAAAGGAATGTAAGCCAGTATACAACTGAGACACTTACACACCTGTGTTTATTGCAGCACTATTCAAACTAGCTAAGCTTTGGAAACAATACAGACGTCCCATAACTGTTGAATGGATTTAAAAAACGTGATACACACACACACACACACACACACACACAGAGAGAGAGAGAGAGAGATAATGGAGTATATTCAACCATAAAAAGAGAATGAAATTATGCTGTTTGCAGGTAAATGTATGGGACTGGAGATCATCAAGTTAAGTGAAGTAACCCAAGTTCAAAAAGGCAAAAATCACGTTTTTTTCCTCATATGTGGAAGCTAGATCTAAAATATAAATGTATATAAAACAATATATACATGATCATATATACATATATATCATGTTTATAATAATGAAACTGTTTGAAGGAATTATAGGGAAGTATAAAAGGAAAAGAGAATGATAGTGAATAATACCTAAAAACTGCAACTGTCTATGAGGATAACATAAGGACACACAGCAAAACTGTTGAATGACAGGAGGGTGGGGAAGATAGAGACAGAGAAAGTAACAGAGGGGGTTAATCTGATTAGAGTCAATATGTACATGTGTAAAAATACCACGATGAAACCCCTGTGAACAATTCATATATATGTAAAATAATGAGGGACAGGAATGTAAAACAGGTCTTGTTTCTTGTGGATGAGTAATAGTGGGAGGGGGAGGGGCAACAGAGAGGGTGAAGGAAGTTGAATACCAGATGACTTTATAAATAAAACAATGAAACTTGTTAAAAATTGTTTTAAGGAAGCAGCAGGGGAATTGAAGGAGAATGATGAATCAAGTGAATCTAACTAGTATGTCGTAAACACATACAGATATGTCACAATGAAACCCTCTTGTACAAATATTATATGCTAATAAAATATTTTTTAAAAATTAAAACAATGCTAAATAAAAATAAGAGAATACCACAAACAACTCTTTTGACAACTTAGACAAAATAGGCCAATTCTTAAAAAGCACAAACTACCACAACTCATTCAAGATCATATAAATAGCCATAAAACTATTAAAGAAACTGTTAAAAGACTACCAAAAAAGGAAATCTCTAGGTGCAGATGTACTGGAGTGCTGTACCAAACATTTACGCATCAGTGCCAATTCTACACAAGCACTCTCAAAAAACTGGAGCGAAGAAACATCCTCCCCACCCAACCTTGTGATTTATCGGTAAATATTACCATGGTACCAAAACCAAATACAGTGTTGAAGAAAAAGAAAGGGAAGTAGGGGAGAGGAAGGGAAGGAAAAAGAGGAGAGAGTAGGGGAGAAGAGGAGTGGGGGAGGAAGGAGAAGAAGAGAGGAGAAAAAACTATAGACCAATAGCTCTCCTATGCATAAATGCAAAAATAAATAAATAAATAAAACCATTTGTCCATTTTGTTTGTTTTTGTTTTGCTGCGTTAGGGATTGAACCCATGGCTTTGTGCATGCTAGGTAAGCACTCTACCACTGAGGTACACCCCCAACCCAAACGCAGAAATTCTTAACAAAACATTTGCAATTATACACAATAACCCTGGGGTTTATTCCACACATACAAAAGGCTGGTTTGATATTCTAAAATCAATCAGCATAACATAGCATAGTAAGAAGCTAAAGTTGAAAAGTCACAATCTGATGGAGCCGCTGAAGCATAAATGATAAATCTGTAGTTGGATTCACTTTGAATGAAATCAACAACACCCATTAAATTTTAAAGGGCTTTCCTATACAAGGTAATTCTTTTCACTAACAAATCAAAGTTTAATCCATATCTGAATTTTGAGAACTACAGAAAACAAAACATTGAAACATTTTTTTCAAGTTGGTGGGGTTTTTGTTAAACTTCTGTCCTACAGTTAAGATGTCTACATGTACTCTCAAGTGGCAAAGAAAAATGTCTTACCATAATTAAACTGACTGTTGGACTTTTCACAGTTAATGATGTTGAACCTATAAGCAACACCTTGACGCATTCCACTGACTTCAAAGTAAAACCACTGATGATAATGATTGCTGTTTATATCTGAGTTCAGAATAAGATCATATTCATTTCTGAAAATAGAAGATAAAAATATCTGATGAAAATTAGGAAAATATCTGTGCACATACAAAATGAGCACATTATAAGTGACTTACTTTCTAATTTGAATTACTTTGCGCAGATTCCCAGATTCAAATTTGGAGTTAAACTTCAAAATATCTCCTTCTTCTGGAATGATGTAACTAAATAAATATTTTAAAGTCAGTATATTAAAATACACTGCATTTAAACAGATAAGCAAAAGATAAACAAAACTACACTTCAGATTAAAAACACATCACTACTGTCACATCACTTCCCTCATTACTTTTAAAACAAATAACTCTTAATAATAACATGAACTCATATTTCTACCAAAAATCTTTTTTAAGGTATTTTTATTTTCTCCAAATCTGATAAGTAAAATGTGAAATTTCCTAAAAATATTAGAATGATGGGGAAGAAGGGAAACCCACTAAGAGCTAACTGACTTTCTCATTTGAAGAAGTCAGTTGAGGAAGCAACTGGCTAAATAACAGTCACAGCCAATATGTGTAATTTTCACTTACTTACATACACTTAAATCCTAAAATGTGTTAGCAACGATAATCCTAAGGCAGTAAACAACTAACATGTTAAGCATCACCAATGAATTGCTTCAATGAGACAGGTAACTTAATGACTAAGGCAGATTGTACACAGTGAGTGGCAAAAGGGAATACTGGGGACTATGGAGAATTAGCAAGCATATGTTGCTTCTAAAGGGGTGATAATTTCTTGTCCTGAGGAAATGAAGAATCAATATTATAGGAAAAACCAGTATTTTCATGTGAAATCCCCACTATTAAGTGGCAATTTCATTTTTTTCAAAAACACAGCACTATTTTATGAGCTTTAAGAACAAACAAAAGCTTGTGACATATTCAATTTAAGTAAATAAACCTGATTTACCATAACCTTCATATCACTGTCAAAGGATAAAAATACAGCAAGGATAAAGCAGGTGGAAGTTAAGTAAATTTAATTTATCTTTTAGAAATAACTCTGAAATTTTGCTGCAAAAAAAAAACTAATGAAAGGATTTTAAAAAGCAGACTTACTTTGGGTTATCTAAGTCATATACCACTCGATCTATGATATCACTCTGATATATTAGCCTCTCTATATCTTGGGCAATTTTTGTCCTGAAATCATAAAAGAAAAGTTTGACCAACATTCACTATTATATGTCACTGTACAACCTGCTCCAAAATAAGTTCTGAATGAAAAACAGTAAAAAAGATAAAATTTTCTCAAAATAAAAATATCATTTAACTATATATTGTATACAATAATTAGTATATCATGGGTAACACAAAAATCAGTATTTACCAGAAAAATAATCATGTAGAATACAGTCACAATTCAGTAGTAAAAAAAAAGCAAGTAAGGAAGGTACAGATGAAGGGAGGGAGGGAGGGAGTCAGGAAGGGAGGTAGACCTAGATGTCCATTAGACCTTTCTACATAAAAATGGCATGGATTTGCTACTTAACCCTTACGGAAATAATTTTGTATATATAATAGCATCATTAGAGGTAATAAAGATAATTTTGTATATATAATAGCATCTTTAGAGGTAGTAAAGAAAAGTAAGAGCACGTGGAGCAGCAGTTTGCGAGTGGGTGCTGAGAGCAACAGCTGCGTTGAGGGCCTCCCTCTGTCACCCACATGGACTTCGGTGACCCCACTTCTTCCTGTGGACGTGGAGCAGGCCTGCGTGCTGCGTGATGGACACCCCCCTGCTGTAAGGATCGGACTCGGATTCTGAGGATTCCCTAGTCACAGACAGAGAACTGGAGGATGCATTTTCCTGTGGACTCCTGAAGCCAGGCCTCAATGTCGCATTAGAGGGGCGGAAGAAGGCCGTGAACGACGTGAATGGCCTGAAGCAGTGTTTGGCTGAATTCAAGCGGGATCTGGAATGGGTTGAAAGGCTTGATGTAACCCTGGGTCCAGTGCCGGAAATCAGTGAACCTCAACCAACACCTCAGAACAAGGACCAGAAGAAACCTGTTAACCCAGAAGACGATTTCCTGAGGGAGATGAGTTTCTACCACCAGGCCCAAGCTGCAGTGCTTGCAGTATTACCCCAGCTCCATCAGCTCCAAGTCCCTACCAAGCAGCCCACTGATTATTTTGCAGAAATGGTGAAGTCTGATCAGCAGATGCAAAAGATTCGTCAGAAACTGCAGACTGAGCAGGCTGCCATGGAGAGGTCTGAAAAGGCTAAGCAATTGCGAGCGCTTAGGAAATACGGAAAGAAGGTGCAAACACAGGTTCTTCAGAAGAGGCAGCAGGAGAAAGCACATATGATGAATGCCATCAAAAAATATCAGAAAGGCTTCTCTGATAAACTGGATTTCCTTGAGGGAGATGAGAAACCTGTCACACAGGGCACAAAGGCAGGAACCAAAGGCCAGCAGATGAAGAAGGGGCCCAGTGCTAAACGACGATATAAAAACCAGAAGTTTGGTTTTGGGGGAAAGAAGAAAGGCACCAAATGGAATACTCGTGAAAGCTATGATGATGTATCCAGCTTCCGGGCCAAGGTAGCTCATGGCAAGGGCATCAGGAGGCCTGGGAAGAAAGGATCGAATAAGAGACCTGGAAAACGAACAAGAGAAAAAATGAAGAGCAAAACCTGCTAAACAGCAACTTTTTATACAAAGAACCAAGAAAAAGGGATGAAGACACGGAATTTCACAGTACACTTGGATCCTTTCTGTTGGTTTCTTCTTGTAGAAAATATTTGTAATAAATTAAAAATTATGAAAGACACATACTCTTGGATAAAAACTCAGGACTGAAAGATTTAGAAGTCTGCATATTAAATATTGCTATTTATTGATAATAAAGAAAAAAAAAAAGAAAAGTAAGAGATTATATAAGGAGATTTTTTTTAAACCCCCCTAGCTGGGAATCTGGCAAAAATGCAACTGGTAGTCGGCTTGCATGTTCTGCAGAATACCATCCCTCTTCTATGGTGGGAAAGGAAAAGTGGAGAGGAGAGAAACACTTGTGTCAGGAGTGGAGAATCATCCCTTCCTTTCCAGAATTCTCTGGACCTGATCTCCTCAATCAGTCCAACAAAATGGATACTAACTGGAAAGTTTCTAAATTGCCTACCACTGTCCTAAAAGACTGAGCCACTCACAGCAGTCACAATACCCCTCAAGATTTAAGCCAAGTAATAGAACAATTACCAGGAGGCACCAAACTATAGCTGGAACAGAATAGATTCAGATCCTGAAGCCAGATGCTGGAACTCTAGGTAGACTGGGCACAAAATCTTGACTGTTAACAAACAACTACTTCTCATAGTAAAACTTTCTCTTAAGGAGGAAGTTAACTCTGAATTGATTTAAATTTTAAGTTTTTTCACATCATCTAAAGATAGAATGATAGATTAGAACTGTAGTTTATGCAAATAGCCAAGAAATACTGAGCAAAAAGAGCAATGCTGGCAGTAACACAATACCAGACTTCAAATTATACCTCAGAGCCAAAGCAATAAAAACAGTATGGTACTGGCACAAAAACAGATATGAAGGGCAGAGGAAGAGAACAGAAGACCCCTATATGAATCCACACAGCTATGCCCACCTGATTTTTGACAAAGGCACCAAAAACATATGATGGAGAAAAGACAAGTCTTTTCAACAAATGTTGCTGGGAAAACTGGGTATCTGCCTGCAGAAAACTGAAACTAGATCCATGTCTGTCACTGTGTACAAGTATCAAGTCAAAGTGGATCAAGGACCTTAACATAAGACCTGAAACTTTGAAGCTAATTCAGGAAGGAGCAGCGAATACACTGGAATTAACAGGCATAGGCAATGACTTCCTCAATAGAACTCAAATGGCTCAGCAACTAAGAGAAAGGCTTGACAAATGGGACTACATAAAATTAAAAAGCTTCTGCACAATAAAAGAAATAGTCTCTAAATTGTAGAGGCTGCCCAAAGAATGGGAGAAAATCTGTGCCAGCTATATATCTGACAAGAGGTTAATAACCAGCATATACAGAGAGTTCAAAAAACTAAACTCCCAAAAGTTCAACAACCCAATGAAGAAATGGGCAAATGAACTGAATAGACCTTTCTCAAAGAAAGAAGTCCAAATGGCCAAAAAAAAAAAATGAAGAAATGCTCAACATTCCTGGCCATAAAGGAAATGCAAATTGAAACCATGTTAAGATTCCACCTCACTACTGTTAGAATGGCTATAAGAACACAAGCAACAACAAATGTTGATGAGGATGTGGGGAAAAGGAACCCTCATACGCTTGGTGGGAATGTAGATTAGAACAACCACTATGGAAAACAGTATGGAGGCTCCTCAAAAAAATAAAAAAAGAACTGCTATATGATCTAGAAATTCCATTACTAGGGATATACCAAAAGGAATGTAAGTCAGGCACCTGCACACCCATGTTTATTGCAGCATTACTCACAATAACTAAGCTATGGAAACAACCGAGATGCCCGACCACTGACGAATAGATTAAGAAACTGTGGTTTTTATATACAATGGAATTTTATTCAACCACAAAGAAGAATGAAATTTTGTCATTTGTAGGTATATGCACGGAACTGGAGAATATCATCTTAATTGAAGTTAGCCAAGTTTAAAAGGCCAAAAGCTGCATGTTTTTTTTCACGTGGAATATAGACCTCATACAAATACAGCAATATTATGGAAAACAGGTCATGCTAATGGGAGGTCACATGTGAGGGGCGGGAGGATAAAAGAAGGAAGATAAGAAGGTGAATATGGTTGATGTACTCTCTGTATGAGAATGCATATAGAATTTTTAAACCAGCTGAAACCACCACAAGAGAGGGACTAAGGTAGAAAGAAGAAAAATAGAAGAGATAAACCAAATTGGGCTATTGTATATGTATATATATATATATATATACACACACACACACACATACATACATGTTAGTGTCACAAGGAAACTCCCTGTATAGCTATCTTAAACAAGCAAAAATGTCATTAAAAATTTTTTTTCTTAAACAAAATCAGAGAACAGGGAGGCAGAACAGGTCTTGCCCTGAGGGCTTAGTACCAGTGAGAAAGGGGAAGAGGTGGGCAAACAGTATGGGAGGGTGAATATGGTGCAAATACTGTGTGCACATGTATGTAAATGGAAAAATGGTATCTACTGAAACTACTCCAGAATGGTGAGGAGAGGGAATGAAGGAGAATGGTGGAAGGGATGAATTCAAGTATGATATATTTGATATATTGTAAGAACTTCTGTAAATGCCACAATATGCCTGACCCAGCACAACAATAAAAAAACTAACTGTGGTTTATAGCTTTAGTAAGAGCAGGGTGAAAAAGTATGCCAAAACAGTTATAATAAAATATCAAGAATACATTACCAAGGCAATACTCAGCAGAAAGAGTAATGCTGGAGGTATCACAATACCCGACTTCAAACTATACTACAAAGCCATAGCAATAAAAACAGCATGGTACTGGGACAAAAAGAGATATGAAGACCAGTAGAACATAATAGAGGACCCTGATATGAATCTATGCAGCTACATCCACCTAATTTTTGACAAACATGCCAAAAACATACAATGGAGAATAGACAGCCTCTTCAACAAATGTTGCTGGAAAAGTGTTTATCTGCCTGCAGAAAACTGAAACTAGTTCCATGTTTATCACCCTGTGCTAGTATCAACTCAAAGTAGATCGAGGACCTTAATATCAGACCCAAAACTCTGAAGTTAGTACAGGAAAGAGCAGGGAATACTCTGGAAGCAATAGAGTATAGGCAAGGACTTCCTCACTAAAACTTCAGCAGCCCAGCAACTAAAATGAGACTACATGAAATTTAAAAGTTTCTGCACAGCAAAAGAAATGGTTTCTAAACTGAAGAGATCAGCCACAGAGTAGGAGAAAATATCTGCTATACATCAGATATGTTATACATCAAAGGACTGATAACCAGAATATACAGGGAGCTCAAAAAATTAAACTCCCCTAAAATCAATGAACCAATATAAAAATGGGCAACTGAACTAAACAGAACTTTTTCAGAGGAAGAAATCCAAATGGTCAAAAAACACATGACAAAATGTTCACCATCCCTGGTCATAAAGGAAATGGAAATCAAAACCACA